AATCATATTAGGACTCCAATTTAAAAAGACAAATAGGATGATGTTCCAGTGGAAAGCCTGTACTCAGGATAGCTATGGCAAATATATTGGAAGTGATGGAATAATTTAACTGGTTACATCACCATTGAAAGAGCTTTCACAGTTGAGATGAGAAACCCTGTGCTTCATGAATTCTTGAATGGTGCTGGCAATACTTAATTATTTAAAGTCACCCTTCCACATTAATCTAAACATGAATAGGTTATTGTGCTTCTGTAGAAAAAGCACCTTTGTCCTCTAAAGCGTGTTGCAGAAATTCTGAGTCACAATAACCTTCTTGCCCTGCATCCCACAAGGCATCAGCACCAGTGATGGGAATAAAGTCCAAAAACCCAGAAGCCTAGACTTCTTCTGTACTGGCTGGGGGTTGTGCTTCCTCCCAGGGAGTCCTAACACATTATTCTACTGCTATGAAATCCCACTGAACTAAGAAAATGTGTAAGAAATAACAATAAATCATGGAAAGTAGGAAAGAAAAAAAAAATGAATAAAGGTGGTTTTTTTTAGTCCTCAGACTAAAGTGAGGAAGTGAGTAGTTTGATGCCAGGTTACAGGACTCCTATGCTGCTACTGCAAAATTTTCAAGTGTTTAAACATATAAACAAGTTTACAAGGTGCTATGTATCAGCACAAGCATGGTAAGTCATTTCATAAGAATACTTAGCCCATTGCAAATGTAAGACAGTTTGACTTTGCATGATTTTCTTTCCTCTGAGATTAGATTGTTGCACTTGCGCAAAAAGAGATGCAGTTTCTGAGGATTGGTCTGTAGCACAGTAATTTGCTGGATTGTGGTAGCTTGACTTTAAATATCAAAATCCCTAACTCTTCTAAGAATGTAAGTCTAATAGAATAAGTAATTCTTTACTTTAAAAAAAAAAAAAAAAAAAAAAAAAAACAGGCTTGAAAAATTACTTTGACAACCACATTAAAACAAACAAACAAAAAAACCCTTTTCTGCTATTTGACCAGACCATCACAATCTCCATACTTCTATGGTCTGGTACTACTCCACCTCTTCTTGTCTCCATCTCAAACCTTGAGCTCTTTGTGTCGTACTTTCTCCCTCTTCCTCTTTGAGGAGGGGGAAGGAGAGAGCAGCCGTTGTAGAACTCGACTGCCCACCTGAGTAAAACCACCACACTAGCTGTATAAAAATACTGGCAGTGAACAATTAGCATATATAAGACCATTAATATAACTATGTTCATTCAAGGCATGAAATTTTAAATGGCAAAAGTCTTCCTAGCCACAGAACTCATGAGATCACCTGGCTTGTGAGCAAACACCTGTTGTGCTTTAGGTGACTTGCTCTCTCTAGGTAGGACAGTAATAGCTTTCTTTACTGCTTTGGCTGAGATTTCTGGCTGGAGAGGCACTTTATCCCCAGGGCTCCTGAACACAACACCTTTAATAGTTGAGGGACATACTGCACCTTTCATCTCGCACAGACTCCACTTCAGGGGCATTACAGGCATCTAGCTAAATTCTGTCTATTTTGGTGCTTTTAGGTCCAGTTCAGATTTTTAACCAACTTTGATATTACTAGGAGCTTAAGGATGCGCCCAGAGGCTTTGCTAAACTGGAGCTTTTAGTTTATCAGCATTATTAACGAAAAACATGCTGTAACCCCCTCACCTGACTCAGTCATAACCACAGTGTATGATTCTCCACATTTATTAAACACATGTTCCCTCTGGAGCTGGAGATGATACAGTAACAGGTGTTTTATTCTGGTTTCTTTTCAATTCACAAGGAAACACAAATGCGTCTCCAGTGTAACTTACAGCTTTCACACTGACTTCTGTAATTAAGATAAACAACAAGTTCCCCATATCTTTCACAATCCACACTCCCTCCCATTCTATCTCTCTCTGTTGTTGTGATCATTAATGTGAGTAAACTAGGCAAAGGGAAATTAAGTTTTATGCAAAAATAAGTGAGGTAAGTTGTACTGGGCATAGTCTCCTCCCAAAAGATGCAGAGATTAAACATAAGAAATCAGCAGGCCTATAACAAAGATGGTGAAATAGAGCAAATACTGGGAAACCAGGGTATGCCCTGACTTTAATGTCAGCCTGGCCTCTGGTTGGTACAAAATTTATATTTCTCATTAGATCATGAATCCTTCTTGTCCACGGAAAATAATGAGAACACTTCTAGACTGCAAGCAATATGCCATTTGGGACACAAGGATAATATTAAAAACCCCTACCATGATGGTAAAACACACCCGGCAAACCACTGAGACAAGCACAACACATTTCTCACACTGCAGCTGAGAGTCATAAAGAGGATGCCTTGTATCACAAGATACCTCTTCCTTGGCTGGTTAGTGCAAAAAGGGACACCTTTTTTCCTATGTTCAACCCCTGAGAAAATATCCACTGCCATTTCTCAAATCTGAAGCTAGCATATCACCTGAATGTACTGATGAGCTCAAAGTACCAGCCTTGCTGAAGGCTGAGGAAGGCAAGCTGCCCCACAGCGAGGGCATTGCTTAGGCTTGCTACAGCCCCTTCCACTGTGAAGTCATCCTGACTCGAAGTCATCCTAAGCACCTTGCAGTACTTCTCCCCAGGCACTTGAAAACAGGAGGAATAAAGTGGTAGCTAGCAAACTGAATGAAGAACCTTGTGGTTGATTTAGATCAGCTGAGTCCTTGAAGAGACAAAGGGTTTGTGTGACTGCACATGCATTTTTCAGAGACAGAAAAGTAATCCCACTGTAATTAATGGATCTTATTATGCTCTAAATCAACAAGCTTGCAGTGTTTTGGTGATTCAGCACCTCTGTGTTTGGATTGCAGTTCTAGATGCGTGTTATGCCTTTGTCCACTTCAGCCTTGTTTACCAACATAGGTATAGACGTAATCTAGCACTAGGCACAATTCTATCTGAATGGATTGGTGGAAGTATTTTGGTATTTTTGCATTCCCACAGTTTCTGTAGAGGCACTTACAAGTGAGACAGATGAAAGCAAGTAAACACAGATATTAAAAAAAAAAAAAAATAGGCCATTTACTTTCTCACCACACAATGTTTACTATTTGCAGTTCAGTCACCTCTGACAACTGAAATAGATCATTCCATCTCATTTCCTTCCTCCAGCATAACCACCCAATGTATTTGTGTCAAGAATCATGACACTGCAGTTTAATGTCAGTTTTTATTGCAAATAGATACTTTATTTTTCAAAGTTCACAAAACATCTCTTCGTAAAATACTTTGCAATCATTATTAGTCTATTTGGTGGTGGTTTTTTTCCAACTCTAAAGAATGTGAAGATATTGCTTCAAATTAAATGTCCAAGTTTTATGTGACATTCCTCGTAAATAAGTTAAAAAATATATTACTCCCATGCTTATTTATTAAGTGCATTCAGCAGTCAACATTCAAGTCCACTCCCCCAGTCCTTCCTACAAACTAGAAATCTTCTTTGCCACAAAAATTCACCTATTTCCCTCAATAAATCTATTCCTTACAAAAAACTTTTGCCCTTAGAGTCTCATTTTTTAAATTTATTTCATTAGTTTCCATCTCTGATAACTAAATTCTCTTTTATTACAACAGGGAATTGTTATAATGTGCAAATTGAAATAATGATTGTATCACAGCACTCTGCAAGTGGTTTTCATTAAGCTTCCAGCTACTATTCCTTGCCCTGTTGGATATCTTTGTGTCAGGGTTACTTTATGCTGGACAGAAATGTGAACAATTTATGCTGAAAAGGATAAATAAAAACCTGTTAGATAACAACCTTTAAAATACACTGGCTGAGAGAGCTTAACTGTATGTCCTTGTCATAATCAAAACACTTCAAAAACAACACTGCTTAAAACTTAACAGTTATGCTAAAAAGTGGACCTGTGAATATATTCACATTTCTCAAAATCAGAATTCCTACTTGTCATTACAATTCTATGTAAACAGGCACACAGTGCCAGAAATACATTTACATTTTTGAAATGCTAGACTACAAAGATTTGCTTATTTGTAAACAGAACAGGGTGACTAAATTCATACTCTATGTTCAAGTAGGATTTTCTGGTTAATTTTAGTGACTTAAAATAGCTCAGAACCATTTGTGTGGCTTGCTGAAATTTACAGCATGCTTATATTGTTGATCACCAGACTCATCTTGCTACTTTGTCATTCTGTATTGCCTATAGGTAAATGAGTTTGCTAGCATATAATCCCATTGCTGCCAGGGTCACCAGAAGTCTGAATAACACATAAAGAATCCACTTAATTGCAAAGATTTATAGCTATGCTGTTTTCTTTTCTCCCTTTCCACTCAAACTTGTCTTCCATGTCTGACATGTATAGAAAAGGGAGAGCTGCTTATTCTAGTCAAAATCAGCAGCCACAAGGACCACAGTTCTGCAGGGATTCCTTATTTCTGCTGCTAATGCACAGGCAACAGAGAAGCAGTTTTCTAATCCACCCCAGACACAGTACAGAACCAAAGAAAAATGATGTGTCGGTATAGTATCAGCCATCACGTCTGCAATAAAGCAATACATTACATGACTGGCAAAAAACAAACAAACAAAAAACCCAAAAACAACACAAACACGACAAACCAAAACCACAACAACATAACTTCCAGAAGCAACAAGCTTTTCATTTTAAGCTGTTAATTTTGATTTAAGGTATCACCCTCTCTAAGGTAAAAGACACGTGAACTATTATGCAATAAACAGATGAGAAGTTTTTGAGTCTTTAAAGTCAGAAGCAGAAAGTTGCCATTTGAAAATCTCTTCTCTGCCTGTCCCAAAAGCCCAGTGTTTGAACCATGTATAATTTCTACTTCATATGGAAGCCTTTTCCTTTGCTTTATTTATGGTTGTGGTACAAGTTTGGGTAACAGAGGAATTGACCGATTCCAACCAACCAGTGAAATGAATTTTGTAACCCTCTCAAAGCACTTTCTGCTTGAACTGATTTCTATAAACTTACCAATGGAGCGATGAATGCAGGTGTGCTGGTTATCACTCAGAAAAAAGCCTTCTTTGCACTGACATTCGTAGCTGCCCATAGTATTTACACATATCTGCTGGCACCCTCCATTGTTATCCTGACACTCATCGACATCTAGGAGAGAAGGAAAAGGAAATGCAAGGTTATATAAAGATTCAGAACAAACATATGGAAGAGCAGGGAATCCATAAAAAGGCATACTGAAAATTAAGCTAATCAAAACTACCCAGACTCCATCACAGTTAATCTAAATTAATCCATTAATTAATTAATCCAAATTAAATTATTTTTCCTGCATCCCAGGATTATAGTTAAAATAACAATAAATAAATAAATAAATAACAGATCAAAGGAGTCTCTGCAAAGTCTCCATGCATTTTGAGCTGCAAATTAATTTCCAATCTGCAATAAATGTTCTAAATGTTAATGTTCTAGAAAGGCTGCAACCCCATCTGCCAAGTGCGGTGTTGCACTCTGTCATTCCCACTCTGCTTGGGAAGACATACTTCAGGCATACAGAATTTCTATCAGGGGTAGCAGGCAAACACAAAGGGCATTATTAGGTAAGAAGAGTCTTTACAGAGTTCTGGTCTTGAACAGAACAGCATGTTTCAATTACTGGAGTCATAACTCCCTACTTTGTCAGTTTGTTTACAGTTGGTTAATGAAAAGAAGGCTTCTTAAATCTAAATGTTCCATTTCTGTACTGTCATTTTAATAGGCATATATATAAAACCACAAAGGCAGCATTAGCTACTGGCTGTTTTGAGAGTCACTGCCTACCCCCCCGGGCTCCAATCACCTCCCTTTGGCATAAAAAGTTTTTATGCTGTTGCATTTGACAGAAACATGTGTTTCAGCATTGGGAAAACACTGCCACTAAAAGATGTCTGACCCATTTTCAACCTTGAAACTCTCCTGTTTGCTCATAAGAGGTGTATCATATCCATTTTCTGTTTTCTGTTTGGATAAAAGAAACTTGCCACCTGAGAAATCCATGTTTTGCTTTTTTTTTTTTTTTTTTTAATAGACACGCTGCTACCAGTTAGTTATTCTACCATATGTGCCAACATGTCAGCAAACAATTTGGTGTTATGTTTTGTTTTCATTTTTTTTTGGAAAGGGGAAAAAAAACACACACCAAAGCTAAAACCAAAAACTACAACAACAAAAAACAGATTCACAACACTGAAAGCCTCAGAAGAGCTAGCACAGCTCCTTCAGAAACTAATTGCTGCAGGACTGGCCACAGTACACTAAAGTAAAACTTAACTGCTTTTGCCAGTGCTCTACCAGGCAAGGCCAGGGAGCTCAGAAAAGCTGGAGAAACATAGCTGGTAACTAATGTAGGAACTTAACCTAGCAGCTTGTGCAACTAAGCCGGCTATTGCTGTTTGTGCTACTCACACTTCATGTAGATGACAGAAACTCAAGTATTTTTTCACAGAGAAGGAAAGCTCTAAGGTAATTACAGCAATACCCACAGAAACCAGACTGTCTACTCGTGTCTTGAATTGCAATGCAAGTACATAGACAGTCCTTTTCATTTATTTTGTTTCATTTTATTTAAGCACTATTGCCTCACATTTCCTGTGTCAACATCCTCCCTGCCCACAGTTCTTAGCCTTTTCCAGATCCAAACCTATTTCATAACCCCATCAGAGTAGTTTGGGAGAGCCTAAGAAAAGGAAAAGTGAAGACGTTCCTTGCTTACTGCAGTATGAGAAGGACAACTCTGTAAGAATTTTCATCTGTAAATCGGCAGGCTTTGCTGCCCTATTAGTGCCAACTCAAACTTGTTCCTTCAAAACAGCATACTGCAATCTAGATTCACCTCTCTGGAAGATTAGTCGAAAACTTCCTGAAGGAAAAAGTCTCAGTTGGTAATTGTACAAACCTTAAAATTTTGCTACAAAGCATACAGCCTTTCAAGCATTGTTTATAGTATCACAAAGCAAGTTGAACAATTGTCTTCCAGCTCTGATGAATAACCTGAAACAAACGCAATGATTTTATAAACATTATTGTCTGCTCTTGATAGTAAAGGCTGGTGATTTACCACTTTTGTAGAGACAGCTCAATTTACCACCAACCCTCAGATTCTTACGCTGGAATAAAAAAACAAAACAAAACAAAACACCAATTATTTGTATATCTTCAAAACTTAGAAATGAAAGAGCTGCCAAAGATGTTTTTATTTTCTTTCATTGTGCAACTCCAGTTCAGTGCAGCTCAAGTTGCCCAGTTGAACATGTAAACACCAGTAATGCAGCAAATGTGAGATTGCATTTTGGACCAGACATTCTAGAGATTAAGTTCCACATAAACACTAAAATAACAAGTCAGTTTTTCAATAAAGCTCCTCTGGCTCCGGTTTTGGAGGCTCTACATGTCTACATGTAGGCTCACCACCTGACATTGTGATGATTCCATATCTACAGCTTATAGGATAGTTGAATCTCAAAATCTGACTGCTGATCCCTAAGGGGAACCTGGAGCAAGGCTTCTGCAAACACATGTAATCTAGACTCACAAAAAGATGGAAAAAGGTTCTCACCTGAGCTGTAACATTCCTCACAAAGACCTGCCCTGTGATTGTCTCCACCAAAGGCAATCATTGATAATCATTGAAAGTATCTAGAAATAGATGCTCAGTTTCCACAGCCCTTAACTGCTCCTTACTAACATACCTAAATAGATAAAATGACTACCATCACAACGGCTAGAATCACTTATACAGGGGATAGATCAGTGTGAGAAACCTGTTTTTCAAAGGAGATTGGGACCTGAATTTCAAATTGGCTAGCCATCATCAAGGAATAAGGGAAAATCCAGATTAGGGAGGGGCTGGGAAAGAAGTATCTTTCAAATAAAAGGGAAAGATAACGGATGCATTTATACATATACATACATATATAGAGAGATACATCTATATATCAGAAGTATGATGCAAATTAATGCATACCTGAATTTGCATAAACTCTAGCTTTTTGGCCCACTGCCTTCACATAATCAAACTTGTGTTCTGTAACATGAGATCCTCTAAGAGAATGGTAGTGTGGAACAGTATCAAAGAGTAGGAGACATTACAGATGATAAAGATGGATGTTTTATTTATTACATAAACAAATGCTTTCAGTTTCTCATTTAACTTATCTGATGAACACTTCAAATATGCTCCACTGGTATTTCACCTTGATCTGGCTCAGAACTTCCTTCAGTATCTGCCCTAAGGAAGCTATTCTGACCATGTGTCCTATTTGGATATGAGGGAGAAAGGTCTGCTAAGGGTACCCGAAACCAAAACCACAAGCAGGAAGACACAAAAGCGGAAATGGTATACAGAGTCAAATGACAAGTGAACGGTATGAACAGTATGTTCACTGTCCAATTCCTCCCATGATCTTCTCTTCCTTCCTTCTGGCATTTTTCTTTCATGTGAGCATTCTTGTAAGCACTCAAGACCCTCAGAAATCTGAGTCATCCTTGAAGTCTCCAAAGCATTTAGGAGTGACAGAACAATTCACTTACCATTGCATTAACATTCTTTGGAGACTTCTGAAAACAGGACTTTGACTCATGATCCAGGGAACCAATCCTGTACATTTTACTCTAAGCTATTCTTTGAAATTCATTGAAGATTTTTCTAAGCAGCCTATTTTACCCATTGTAGAACACTGTGACAGAGAGATGAACTCTTGACAGCATTACTGCATACTTTTCTCAAGTTAGAAACTAAACACCACTAAGGATATACTGTATATGTAAAAGAAATTATCAGCAATGTCAAGCTCAGAAAATACAAATATGCAATTTTGGAATTTAAAAAATCGTTATATTCTGAATATTTCTAACCAAAAAAGGGTGAAAATCTCAAAAATCACATTCCTGGATTTACTATAGTAACGGCTGTTATAATAATCATAAAAAAAGAACATCTAGCCCAACATCCTATCTTTCACATTGCCTTGTAGTGGATATTCAGGAAAGACTATACACATGGAACAGAATCATTACTGACATGCCCTCCTGCTTCCTGTGATCACATACCTGTTAGCCTTCCTAAACCACTAGCCATGCCATTGCCACTGGTGGACCTTTCCTGTATTAATTTTTCCAATCTCTTCTGAACCCAGCATGATGGTACAATTTAATTGAGTTGAAAGAAGACTTCTTTTTCTTTCAAACACGTTTCATAGTCTGAATGAATGTCTCCTAATGCCATTATTGTAATATACAGTTAATATTCATTCCCTACTTGCCTTTTTTGTATGTTTTGTGATCTTACCAATACCCCTCAGCCTTGTATGGTCTACCTGGTCTATTTCAATCTACAAAGCACAGCTATACACAAATAGTATTACAAAGATAATTCAAATGACTTCAGTACATTGTGTTTAAAACAAGTGCCCATTTCTAGAAATTAATGTTAATGACAGCAACAGTTGGCAAGTGTTCTCATTTCTCTATTCCATTCCCCTCAAGCACCATGATACTCTGTTGGAGTGGGTGTCTTGGAAGATATGATTTCAAGATAGCTGTGGAAGCCCAAAGAGTAAATCTGCCATGCAGGACCTGAGGAAGTGGTATCAGGTAAGATGCTGCAGGCAGGTGTTCCTGCTGGAATGCTCACACAAGTAGTGACATGTCAAGGTAGGAAAGTTAATACATGGCATCAGCTGAGGGGGCTATGAGAACAGGGATCATTAATTTAAATAATTGCTAAACCATCTTTCTTACGCCAACTTTATATGAGAAAACAAAGGGAAATATTAGAAGAAAGAAACCACTACCTACATACACAACATTTGTATCTCCAGGAGATTTGACATCAGACTTTAACAAGAATTTAAAAGCATGACTCAAATTTTCTACCATTTGCACATGACACTAGAATTCTGCTTTTTGTTCCCTTCCTTCAGAAAGAAATGGAAAAATGTGGCAAAGGAAAAACGAATACCAAGCCCATGAATCCAGTACTTCACTACTGTGGTTTCAGTAACCTTCAAGGAAGCTTTTGCTGAGAAGAAGTCCACTTTTTTTTCCAAAAAAAATAAAATTCTTTTTTTAATGTTTAATGTTTACCAGAGTTGAAATTATTTTTTTTTAATGTT